TCATCCGACAGAAATACATTTTAAAGTTAGGTACATACATCCCAACCATCATTTATATTGTTGATACATTTGATCCCAGCCCTTGTGTAAGCTGCATTTTGTGTCTTTGCAGTTTAGTGGCGCTTAATACTAGTCAAGAGAAATTCGATCTTGTGGACCTCGATTGTTGAGGAAGTACTCAGATCCTTTATTAAAGTAAAAGTAGCAATACTTAATTGTAAAATACTCTGTTACAAGTAGAAATCCTGCATTTAAAAGTACAAAAGTATCGGCATCAGAATAAACTCAAAGTACTAAAAGTCCTACATTATTTCCCTTTAAATGTAGTCGAGTAGAAGTATAAAGCATAACATGGAAATACTCAAGTAAAGAACAAGTACCTCAAAATTGTACTTAAGTACTTGAGTAAATGTACTTAGTGACCTCCCAATTCTTTCAGATGCCTATCAAAATATGACTATATGTTGAGATATCCAGCAATAGTACACAAAGTAATTACAGATATTAGCTCCACCATTATTAGCCGTCATCAATAATAATAATAATAATCCCTTAATGAATATCTATATATATGATTCTGAAATGTGCCATAATGCTTAAGTGCTTTTACTTTGGGTACTCTGAGTATATTCTGTTGCCGGTCCTTTTTCTACTTTTAAAAGCAGGATTTTTACACCTTTACTGCTGAGGGATGAAAGGACTAATAGACAAGTCTGACGTCTTTACAGAGGAGGGGGAGAACGAGCAGGGAGACGCATGATGGAAGAGCTGCTGACTGAGAGAGATAGACGGCCATTCATCCGTCTGACACACAGGGGATGGGAGGAAGAGTCTGAACACAGCGCTGTCTCTCCATCCTGTCCATCCGTCAGTGGTAAAACTGCCGCCACCATCTGCTGCCACGAACCACAGACACAAAGTCATGCGGATGCACACGGATAAAGTGTTAATGGCGGGTTACATCAGCAGCAATAAGTCATATAACAAAGCCCGTAGTCACAGATCAGATCAGGATTATAACAAGAGCCGTGGCCGTTGGTGTCGACATGGCGTCTTCTGTGATGAGAGATTTGATATTCTTTTATCTGTTGGCCAGAAAATGCCTTACTTTTGATTCTCCATTTGCTCCTTTTTTCAAATGAGTTTCATGGAGCCAGGAGAGGTAACACTCTTATGAGCAAAAAGGAAATGAAATATAGAGAATAAAAGCTCCTCAGGCAAAAGGAGAAATGTTCCCTGTGTGCTGAGCTCTGCCTGTCAGGATAGAGTTTGGAAAGCTGGGATCAAACCAGTTCCCGCTTATTAGAATTAATAGGAGACAGTTGAAGGTTAAACTGAAAAATATAGCGATATCTTACTGTGATGTGAGGCTGGGTATCATCACAGAGCTTGGATTTTGTGATATTGCATTCGTGTCATGCATTGAAGTGAATTATAAGATTACTTTATTTATTCCGGAAGAAATTGGGTTAAGTGACAGTTGCTCTATTTAAGAATAAAAGAAAGAAAGAAAATAGAATATACAAATATAAACACATAAAAGGTTGTATAAAAAAAATACTGTATATATTTATATGAATAGAAAAGTAGCTAAAGTAAGAATATTTATAGGAAATTAGGAACAATTTTGTGGGAACATGCAATACAAAAGTAATTTAAAAAATACATTTATGCAAACAACAGAAGTTAAGCAGAAATGTGTATACTGTTTATTCAATTGTTACATATATGCGTGTGATTTTCTGTATTTACCTGACCTTTCTGTTATATTATTTGCCTTCTTAGTAAACATATCCAGATTACCGTTTTTAAAAACTCACTGTGTAATTATTCTGTGAAATCACAAATAGTATTATGTTACAATATTGTTACAAGACATTGAGGTTTTTTATTTGGAAAGAATCTGGATTTCCTCCTCATGTCCTAGCCTTAAACGAAGCCATAAGTTATTTCGGTGAATAAATGTGGATCCTTCTGCAGTGTTTACAAAGATGGAGGCATCATCAAGTCGTGCCGTATGTACACCAGAGCTAACATTTGTTATTGGAGTGTGTATCTGGTCTCTCCTGTATTGTGACAGATGGCAGCCCAGACTGTTAGGGGTCCAATAGTGCGTCACACGGGCCAAAAAGCGCCAACCGCCAGTGTTGTCATGTGTGTGTGTGTGTGTGTGTGTGTGTGTGTGTGTGTGTGTGTGTGTGTGTGTGTGTGTGTGTGTGTGTGTGTGTGTGAGTGTGTGTGAGTGTGTGTGAGCAGCCAGCATAGGGGATCCTGAAACCCAAAACTGATCCGGTTAATCTAGAGAAGAGGAGGTGTAGGAAGGGGGAAGGGAGGGAGGGAGGGATGGGTCGCTTGTGCGTAAAAAAACACACTCACACTCACACTCACACACACACACACACACACACACACACACACACACACACACACACACACACAAATATACACCATGTGGGACAGCATTCAATCAC